AATGGAAAAAGAATTAGATAAATGGTTAAGAGATGGGATAATTTGTCCGATTGGATATAGCGAATGGGCGACTCCATTAGTTCCAATAAGGAAGGCGAATGGCAAGTTAAGGATTTGTGCGGATTTCAGAGTAACTTTAAATCCGTGAGTTGTGGAAGTAAAGTATCCGTTACCGAGAATTGAAGAAATTTTAGCGAATTTGAAAGGGGCGAAGTATTTTTCAAAAATTGATTTTTCATGTGCGTATTTGCAGTTACCTATGAAAGAGTCTACGAGGAAATTGTTAACCATAACGACGTTTAAAGGATTGTTTATGTTTTGTAGCTTGCCATTTGGATTAAGTGTTTCGGCACCGATTTTTCAAAGAACAATGGCTGCGGTGTTTCAAGGGTTAGAAGGTGTTTTTTATTATATGGATGACGTATTGATTACCGGAATAACGGTAGAACAACATAATCGAAGGTTGGGAGAGGTTTTTGGACGAATAAGGGTTAAAGGATTGAGGGCAAGTAGCGAAAAAAGTGTTATGGGCGTTACCGAAGTTGTATATTTGTGACATAAAATAAATGGAATAGAGGTAAAACCGTTGGATAAAAATTTGATGAGTATTGCGAATTTGAGAAAGCCGGTGAGTAAGGCAGAAATTCAATCGTTTATGGGAATGGTGAATAATTACCATAGATTTATTGAAGATTTTGCAAGGATAGCAGCTCCCTTATATGAGTTATTGCGGAAAAATGTGTCTTTTGAATGGAAAAATGAGCAAGAATTGGCATTTGAAAAATTGAAATCGGAAATTAGTAAAGAGCCTGTATTAGTGTTTTAATAGTGAATTGGAGGTGATTATGGCTGTTCATGCTTCTAATAAAAAAGTGGGAGGAGCTTTATTACATTTGATAGAAGGTATAGAAAGACCGGTAATATTTTTATCGAGAGTATTTAGAGAAGTAGAAACAAGATATTCGGTAATAGAGCAAGAAGCGTTGGCAGTTATTTTTGGTTTGACGAAATATAGGGAATATTTGATTGGAAGGAAATTTGTAATGTATACTGACCATAAGCCATTGATACATTTGTTCAGGAAAAATAATAATGAGCTGATGATGTCGCCGAGGCTTCAGAGGTGGCTATTGTTAGCAGGTAGCTTTGATTTGGAATTGAAATATAGACAGGGTAAAGAGATTACCAAATCTATTATCGAGATTAGGTATGGGAGAAGAAAGTAATTGTGTAATGAAGGATAAGATGGATGAAAAAGCATTAATTCGGATATTAACGGGAGGTTTTAAAGGTAACCCTACTACTTAAAAAGAAATACAGGAATATACTCTGAAGGATAGAGAATTAGGTTTGATAAAATTATTTTTAACAGGTAAAAGAGCGTGGAATGATAAAGGAAATAAATATAAAAATATAGAAACTGAATTGGTAAATGTTATAGTCCCACGACGATTAAGGGAAAGAGTTTTAAATATGTTACATGCGTGGCATCAAGGAATAGAAAAAATGAAGCAATGGGGAAGAGAATATGTATGGTGGCCATGAATGATTGAAGAAATTAATGATTTGGGTAAAAGTTGTGAGGTTTGCAATGCCTGGTCCGATATACTCCGGAAGGAAAAGGGTAGTAATTGGCCAAAAGTTAAAGGAGCCTGGATAAGATTGCATTTGGATTTTTTTGAATGGGAAGGAAAAAAGTTTATTCTGAGTGTAGATGCATTTTCGAAATGAATTGAGTTTGAAGAAGTACATGGTTTAACAGTGGGAATAGTAATAAGACATTGCAAGAAATTGTTTTCGAGATTTGGTATTCCAAGTATTATGGTGTCCGATGGAGGACCGGCTTTTATAAGTGTGTTGTTTAAAAATTTTTGTGTAAAGATGAATGTGAGACATATAATGTCACCACCGTACCATCCTAGTTCAAATGGGCAGGCTGAACGGATGGTAGCGATAGTGAAAAATTGGTTAAAAAGAATAAAGAAAGTAAAGGAGAATTGTGGATAACGCAATTGTATTACAATAGTGCGATTGGAAAGGATGGCAAATCACCAGCAGAGAAAATGATGGGAAGAAAAATTAATTTCTTTTTGGATAGTTTGAGACCAGTAGATACGGATGTAGAAACGGGAGATAATGTTGTTTTGAAATTTGTGGTTGATCAATTAGTATGGGTTCGGATGTATGGAATGAATAAAAATGGGAAAAAGGAATAGTTATAGAGAATGTGGGAAATAAAGTACTAAAAGTTAGATTAGAAGACAATAGTGAGGTCACGAGACATAGAAATCAGTTAAGAGCAAGGGTATAAAGGAATAGTAATATATATATATGAAAAAAAATTTTTGTGAAATTTGAATAGGATCAAATAGGAAAAGTTTAATTAAAGTAGAAGGAAATTTTGGAGAATTTACACTCTTGTAGGGCAGCCAATTTTAATTTGTTGATCGTGAATGTAGATATGTATAAATAGAGAGTTTGTAGAAAATAAATAAAATCAGAAGAAAGATTAAATATATAGGGTTAAGTGGCCATATGACGATCGCTAAAGAATTAGCTATGTGATGTATTAAACACGTGATGTTTTTGAAATTATTAATTGAACAAAGAATTCAATTCAGGAGAAAATTTGTAAAAAAAATAAAAATTGAGGGTAGTGTAAAGAGATAATTAATTAGAGAAGTTGGTAAAATAAGAAATTGTAAAAGTTTAAATAGAAATTTGTGATAGTTAAAGAGTTTAAATTGTAATCAATTTAGGCGGTGTGTAAAGAGAAATTTTTTTACGAAAGGAATTGAGGTTGAAAGGAAAAGAAAAAAACAACTGGTAGGGTAGTATGTAAAATATTTTGTAAAGTTAAGGAAAAAGATTTTTAAAAAAAAATTGTGTTATTTTCAAGTTAGGTATGTGTTATATATAAAATGTTTTGTAAAGTTAAAGAAAGAGATTTTAGAATAAAGAAAATTGTGTTATTTTCAAGTATGGTATGTGTTATATTAGTGTTTGGATAAAAAGGGAAGAAATAATAATAATAGTTTTTATTATTTTTGTTGGTGGTAAAAAAAAAGAAAGAAATTATTGTGTAGTATCCATTTGTGTAAATTGTTGTTATTAGATTTTTTATTTAAATCAAGAGAAAGAAAAATATTTTGAATTTATGGAGACCTACTACATAAAGACCAATAGAACTATGTTGCAGATTAATTCTTTAGACATGACCAATCCACTAGCGGACAAATGGCACAATGCGTCGATTGATCAATAGACTGGAGAAGGAGCCCCGTCGACAACCTCGTATGGTCCAACGTCCTCGCAAGGTAGGGCAACATTACAAGCAAATTACGCGTCAGGGCCAGCAACTATTCAATCGCGGAAAATGGGAATGAAGGGGCTCAGTTTAAACTGTTTCAATTGCGGGGGAAGAGGACATAAAGCCCGGGAATGTGCAAGTGGAACAAGCAGCTCATATACGTTAAACCATGGGATAAATCGTTGGGCTGGGGGCCAACAGCGGAGAGTATTTGATGACGCAAGATTATTAGCCCGGGAAGCCAAAGAGTTCGCAGGAAGACGTTTGTTGTATAAATTCCACCAAGCAGCTGAAAATGAAAAGGTGCCAGGTGGGACAACGATGGATTTTGGAAAGAAGGAAATTCAGAATGAAGTCGGAAATTCTAAAATGTTGGTTCGAAAAAATATTAATTTTAATGTTAATGGAACGGAGGTGGAGATGAGTGACTCCCTAGATTGATCATTAACACCCCGGCTCCATGATTTTTTTTAAGTTGCGTAAATGTTTTTTTTATATAATAAATAAATTTTAAGGAAATTTAGTTTTTGTTGTATTGCGTTTATTTTTTAGCATGTACCCTGGAGTTCATCCTTAGAAGGGGGTACATGTTGTAGTAGAAGAAAAATTATATATTGATTTTTTATTTTTGATAAATATATATATCGATTTTTTGTATTTTGGTATTTTAAAAAAAAGAAGTATATTATTGATTTTGTATTAAATATATTCGCGATTTTTATGTAAAAGTTAAAAAAAAAGAATATAGTTGTTTTTTTTTTGATTTTAGAAATTACGTAAAAGAATATAAAGAATTTTTTATTGTATTTCTTCAGATATAAAAAAGATATATTTTTATTGAATTGAAGAAAAAAATAAAATAGTTTTAAAAAAAAAGAAAAATTTGTCATTTTTTTGAATCTTACCACATATTTTAGAAAAATAAAATAGTTGTAAAAAAATAAAATTGGTAATTGAGCCATTACCACAGTGGTCTTTTTATTTATATTTATATTGTTAGATAGTTAGTTCTTAAAATAAAAAGAAATAAGCCATTGATATTACTGCAAAGAATATTAATCAAATTGAAACCAGAGTTTTATGAGATACTGCACAATTTTTTATAGGAATGAGAATAAACCCAAACCCTCAATATTTTGCTGAACCCAAACACTAGCCCTTTAAAATTTAGAGTCCAGGGTCCAAGCTTACTTTTTTTTGTGGAAGTCTTAATGACATATTTTAGAAGATATTATGATAATTTGCCTAAATTTATATTATTTTTTAAATTATATTGTAGTATTATATTATATTTCATAATTATGATGATTATTTTTATGGTCTCGAATCCTGAACTCACCCAAATTGGGTGAAGACATTTTTTTACTGAACCATATCCATTTTTTAGACGGGTTCACAGCCCTAATTTTTTATGTGTGAATTGTATAGTCCCCCTTTCAATCTTTATGCATGAATTTTTCAGCCTGACTTGGTCTTAAATATGTTACCCTGCCATTATGAAAATTTCAAATTTGTCCAGCCCAAACTGTGGGCTAGACTTGATGAATCATACTAGACTTTACAAATTCCTGGTGTATAAAATACATTATGAAAGTATTTTGTGGCTTAAATATTTATGAAGAAATATTAATTTTAAGAAATGGTTTAATAGTTTAAAATAATAATATAAATGTAATATATATAATTTAACCTCCAAGTCAGAATTAGTGTGCAATCAGATAATATGGATATTTTTGTTATTTCTTTTAACAAGTGAGTAGGATCCTTTATATCAACCTTATTAAAAATTAGATAATATTATTAAAATAGAAACTTGAATAATCAAAACTCTTAATTCAAATAAATGTCCTAATTCCTTCAATCTTTCATGTATATAATTTTGATTTAGTTGATGGTATCTAAGACTAGTAAATTTGATTTTATAAATACTATGCAACATTCTACCTTAGGTACAATATACAGGCTGTTTCACCAACTATATAATCAGGAATAATTGATGCATATTGCCAGGGTACATTACGAATAAACTTTAAAACTGGATTACCTTTCTATATTGAGTATTCAGTCAAAAACTTTAATTTGTGTTTAAAACTTGTCTAATATTAACTAAGATGGAATTCGTTTTGGTAGAGGGTTTATTCATTTCAAGCAATCAGTGCGAATTCGAGGTGAAGAATAGAAAATACGGGTGTAACTAAACTGAGAATTGACAGGTAAACTGAGAATTGACAGGTAAACTGAGAATAGACAGGTAAAATTTATTTATGGCCATTCAATTATTTTTTAAAATATAAAATTTGAAAAATTATCTTTTTATTCGTTATATTATATTGAGTTTATAATTATATTAACAAAATACAACTATATTCTTTTTTAACATGGCTAATATATTTTTATTCTTATAAATGTTATCACACAGTTATATAAAATGAAAAATATATAATTTGTAAAATTAGTAAACGATTAAGAAAAAAAATTCATAATAAAAAAGGACAATATTGATAGATCATAAAATAATCTAAAATACAAAATAAATAAAAGCGAAAGCAGCAAAAATTATTCAAAACCTCCTTCATCTAATCATCAGGAGAGATAGAATTAATAAAACAAACATAATTAGCCTTAAAATGGCTATTGCGATCCTCTGCCTTAAGTAAAAACCATCGTGAGGCTCCCCTAAATTTTTTCTGAGTAGGCGGTCAACATCTTAAATAAGATTTTAGCCAAATCACCATATGTAGTTAAAGTGGAGCAGGGGCGTCGCTAGCCCTTACAATCTCAGGGTGCTCAACTAAAAAAAAATTTATTGGAGGCTTCGCCTCCCCTCATGCTCCTAATTTGCTGGCTTTCGGTCCGCTTTTGCCCGGCCTTCGGCCGGTTTTATATTTATATATTATATTCAGGCGCGTACGCAGCGAGAGGGGGGGGTACAGGGGGACAAATCCCCCCCCCAAGCCAAAAAATGCAGATGCTGGATATATTTTTCAAAAATATTATTGTTTATATTAATTTATACTTGTCAATATTTATTCCTATCTCATATTAAATATATACTTAATTACATTTATTTATCACATTCATATAATAAGTTATTTTATCAAATAATTTCAATTTCAAGTTCCTTGGCGTAATATTTACTTATTATTTTCAAATTTTTAGTGGCGTAATATTTATCTACCATTTTCAAATTTCTAGTCAAATAATAATTATTTCTGAAACTTGGTCCAACAGGGAAAAGGAAATTGCAACCTTGTCCAACGAGATAGAGCCTCTTCCATCAAGCACTAACAGCTATTAAGGAGTTAGAAGAGCCAATTATTTGCTATTACTGAAATATTACAATGGCCTGAAAGAAATATTTCTCAGAAGCAAGAAAATTATTGGATTCAATGCTAATTCCAAAATTTTTTATCATTAGAATGTATTATTTAATTATACAACTATTTTATGTATTACTTTTCAAAAACATGACATTGACTTGATTAAGACGATGAAAATAGCGGAGAGCACTATTAGAATTCAAGGAAATTAGGGCTAATGTTGATGAAGAATTTTATATGTTATTGTTGAGTCAAAAGCAGAGCTATACGTGTTTAATATTTATCTCCCTCGACTTGCAGCAAGGCAAGCTCATAGTTAAAACATTAATATAGGATCAGTAGAAGGTATATCTTAGATACAGATAAATTTATAACCCAAATAAATGAATGTTATAATTCATCATGCAGGGCTTACCAATCTGCAAATATTACTTCCACAAAAGCCTTCCCAACCTTTTTCAGATGGTGATAAAAAAATATTTGTTAGATTTTTATCATGAAGATGTTAAAGTATCTTATGATGCCTTATTAGCTAAATAACTATGTTTATAAGATTAACTATGGATGATATAGTTCCAAAAAATGCTATGGATGCTCTGCATTATTTCAAACACATTTTAGATTATATTCCCAGTGTATTAAAAGGGTTTATATATATTAGCAACTCTTAGTAAACTAATGAGAGATCATTCTCTTTTTTAAGAAGAATAACAAAGCCCTGCAGAGGTACTATTTGCAGGGCACGGCCCGGGTATTTTTTTAACAAGCAATGCCTGGCTTTTTTTTAAAAAAATTTCAGGCCCGGCCCGTCTTTTTTTTAAATAAAATTTTCAGGCCAGGTCCGGATTTTTTAAAATAAATTCTATTTATTTTTTATTTTTATAGCTAATAAATAATAACGATTTCAAATATAGGCTTTTTTAAAAAATATACAGCCCAGCCCGAATATTTTTTTTTAAAAAAAAATTCAGGCCCGACCTGGGTGTTTTTTTAAAAAAAATTCGGGCCTAGCTCGGGCATATTTAAATAAATTAAAATACAGTCCGGCCCGGGGGCCGGGCTTGCATGTCTCTGAAAAACATATCATGAAGTTCAACTTCTGAAAGTAGGTTGAAAGGTTTGGATCTTTTGAATATTCATAGGCATTTGACGACAAGCAAGGATGAGATAATTGAAAAATTAGCTCAATCTCAACGAAGATTGATTTTACATTGTAAATATATAACATATAAAATATAATTATTCCTAAGAAATTTTTTGTGTATTAATTTATATTTCTAACATTTAAATTTTTTATACTTTATATATAAATTTTAAAGGCTCATAAAATTCAAATTTCTATTTTGAGTCATTTAAGTGATTTTTACATATAATTTTTTTATATTTCACATTAATTTAAAATAGTGTATTAAATATAGTTATTAGTCCTAATAAATTTTTGCTTGATATTTTTATAAAAACCAATAATATTTCTTAAAAAAATTTATTATCCCCCCACCCCCATACAAACCACCTGCTTACGCACCTAATTATATTTTTTAAATTTGCTAACTCTGAACAATTATTCTGAATTTCATATTTTGTCATTTATTATATAATGCATACAAAATAAACTCATATATAAATAATTAAACAATAAAATACATTTCTAAAAATAATATTTTTATAATACAAAATCTATTTATTACCTAAAATATTTTCGATCGCTGATATAAAAAATTTTGCGTCTAAAAAATTACAAGTGATAAAAAAACATATGGTTCAATTGATAATGGTTTTTAAAAAAAACATAATATAATATAATTATTAGCAACTTACATTGACAAAAGGCAAGGGCGTCGCTAGCCTTTACAATCTCAGACGTCAACTAAAAAAAAATTTATGGGGGCTTCGCCCCCATATTTTCCAAGCCCGCTTTTTCCCGGCCTTCGACAGGGTTTTATATTAATATATTATACTTTTTAAAAATTTGCTAACTCTGAATAATTATTCTGAATTTCATATTTTGTCATTTACTATATTAAGCATACAAAATAAACTAACATATAAATAATTAAAACAATATATGACATTTCTAAAAATATTATTTCTTAATACAAAATCTATTTATTACAGTATAAAATTGTTATATATCAATAACGGTGGTGTTGTATGGACAAGGAAAAATGTTATATTTATTATAAATTTATCTAAAACTAAAGGTTATTAATATCAATTTTTTAAAATTGTTATTATCATTATTATTATCATAGGATGTTGGGATATATGAATAATCAGAGAATTGATCAAATTTGGATGTTAGAATAATAAAAGGATGATAAATCAACAAGATTGTTAGATAATATTTTTAGCGTTTTTATTTTTAGCGTTTTTATTTTTATTTTTGCGTTTTCCAATTTATTTTTTCGCGTTTTAGTATTTAATTTAATTTTTCGTGTTTTAGTATTTAATTTATTTTTACATGTTTTAATATTTTAAGTTATATAATCTTTTAGATAGACAGGTTTTTGTTTACTTCGTATCGGTTTAGGAGTCGGTATTACAATATTTTTATAATTAGTTTTAATATTTTTGTCCACACTTCCGTCCTTCTTAGGAGAGTCGTGGTATGCATGAATCCCCTTGTCATCTATATCGTGACCCAGGAACCTAACTTTGTTTTTAAAAAATAAACTTTTGGCGAAGTTAGGTACTAACCCGTACGATAATATTCTCTCATTGGTAGTATCCCTTATGTGTGGATATAGTCAAAAAATTTCTGCTATTTTTATCGATCGGAACTTGTAGAAAAGCATTTTTGAAATCGAATTTGGTAAATTTTTTTGCTTCTGGAAGTTTAGCTATAAGATCATTTATACGTGGAAGTGGGTATCTAAGTCTTCGAGAGCTAGGTTTATAGTGTCTTTAAAATCTGCGCAAAGCTTGATGCTCCCATCATCTTTGTATACGGCGGTTATAGGACTCGCCAATCACACATCATTTACAGGCTCAATAATTTTTCCGTGTATATCTATTCAGTTCTTCGCCCACAGGATCAATCTTTGAATATGGTATACGTCTTTGTGGTATTATTTTAGGTTGGGCGTCACATCTTAAATGTAATTTGACATTTACTTTGTTAATTGGTTCGCTAGTCAATTTGGATTCACAATCTTTAATAAGTTCATTGATATCGTCTTCATAATTGGTGTCGACATTTCCTATGAATTTATTTAAAATATTTTTAAAGGCATTGATCCAGATTCTTCCTAATAACGCGTTCTTTCTCGACTCTACAACTACTGCTAGTAAATATTTAGTGATTCCTTCATAACTTACTTTAACTCGAGTTGTCCCGATGTTTTTAATTAAGTTTCCATCGTAGGCTGTAAGCCGCAAACTGGATTTCTTCATTTCTCTTATACCAATTTTTTTAGCCATATCATGAGGAATGATGGTATACTTTGATCCAGTGTCAACCTGCATAGTTGTAGTAACATTATTTAATTTCAAAGTAGTCATAAAAGCACTGTCATCACCTTTGTCTGTATTTTCAGCCAGGTTGTTGACATTGAAATCATTCTCATTGTTGTCTTTGGCAGTGCCAACTTTATTTTCCCCAACTTCTTCAATGTTCATATTACAATTATTGCTATCGTAGAGGTTTTGATTATCATACTGGATTTGTTTTCTTTGATTAAAATCCTTCCACCGATTACGATCATCATATTCGATTTGTTTTCTTTGGTTATCATTATTATGCCACCTGTTGTTTCCTTCATAATTATTTGAATTGTTGTTATAAGATCGGTAATTATTATGATTTTGATCGTCACTTTGAATCTGTCTCCTCTGATTATAATTAAACCAGGCGTTGTTCCTACTATAGTTGTTGTTATAAGATT